GGGGGGGGGGGGGGGGTTAGGGCTTGTCTAATTGGAGACCTTTGAGTAATGATTTGAAAGACAAATTGAGGTGCGATTTTGGTACTTTTGATATGACTGAACTCGTGAGAGTGCGAGGTTTCTGGAAATAAAATTTTTACCCGATTCCGAGATGTGGGCCCGAGGGGCGTTTTGGTCAATTTGCATATTAGCTTAGAATTTAATTGTATAATCAGTTACTTGAAGTATTATTTATATTATGCAATTGAATTGAATAGATTTGGGCTATTTGGAGCCGAGTACTCGTGGCAAGAACGTGGCCCCGGGTTGATTTTGAGCCGGTTCGAGGTAAGTGGCTTGTCTAACCTTGTGTGGGGGACCTTCCCCTTAGGATTGGTATATTTGGTAATTGAAATGCCGTGTACGTGAGGTGATGAGTGCGTACTTGTGCTAATTGTTGGAAATCCGGTTTTCTTTAAGTATTTACTAGTATGTTTCCTTTCTTGTTCCTATTACTTGCACTATTAAGCATGTTGTTATCTTAGGAAAGCATGTCTAAGTGACTTACTTGCCTTATTTGCTCAACCTGCCTTGCCTGAATTCTGTGCAGCATGCTAGGCTAGAATCACTTGTTGCCTTAATATGAAATTTTGCCATTTCTGTATATTTTCCTATTGCTGTTGTGTATTTATTTTGGGACTACGGATGTGGGATTCGAGTAGCTCCCCCTTGTTTGTTTATTTTGGGACTACGGATGTGGGATTCTGGTAGATCCCCCTGCACAGTTATATGGAACTACGGGAATGCACCCGGTAGATTCCCCCAGTACTAGGTATTTACATTTGGGACTACGAAACGGGATTCCGGTAGATCCCCGCGCACTATGAGTTGGACTACGGGACGGGATCCCGGGAGATCCATTGGATATGTACATATGGGACTACAGGACGGTATCCTGGGAGATCCCCGATTGTTATTATTGGTGCTGAGTTGTATTTCTTTTCCGTGTTTACCTTGCTTCTATATAGTTGTTGCTGTCCTGTACATCCTGTGTTATTCTACTGCCGTACTTATTGATACTATTCTATTCTATATTTTTTATCTTTATATTTTATTTAACCTCAGTAGGGCCCTGACCTTCCTCGTCACTACTTAACTGAGGTTAGGCTTGGCACTTACTGAGTACCGTTGTGGTATACTCATGCCCCTTCTGCGCATGTTTTTCATGTGCAGATCCAGGTGCCGCTACTCAGGCCTTCCATCCTTGAGGGAGGCGACTGCTATAGAGACTTCGAGGTACATCTGCCACGTCTGGAGACCGAGAAATCCCTTTCTATTCTAGTTGTTAAACATTGCCCTTTTGTATTTTTCTTTCTTGTTAGATATTCTGGAGTTAGACTGTTAGATATTCCAAAGGCTTGTGTTTCTGTGAGTTTTCGGGTTTTGGGATAGTGTACTTAGTTTTGAGAATGTTGTGTTGTATATGCCGAGTGGCATTATAACTATTGTTCCATTCAATTATTTTTGGTTTTTGATTATTTCTTCTGCAAGTTTTGTTTATATTCCGCATTTGTTAGGCTTACCTAGTCGTAGAGACTAGGTGCCCTCATGAGAGTTCACGGAGGACGAACTGGGGTCGTGATAATATGATAGCCATTTTGGCGAATATCTTTGAAACTCAACAAGTTTCTTTGAGACCTACTACAATATAATGCATCATTAACAACCAATATTGTTCCTCCTAGTAGTAATACAGTCGCTCTTCCAGAGCCCTCAATTAATTTTGTACTACCAGATATTGTTATGATATTGACTTCTTTCATAATTAAATAAGAGAAATATCTCTTATCTTTTAATATGGTGTGCGTCATAGCACTATCCAGAAGACATATTTTTTCTTTATTATTCATACGGTCAACTGAAGACTGGGAAGTTTTCATATTCTTCAAGAAGAAGAAAAAATACATCATAAGTAATATTGAAAAATTTAAGAACAATCCTGCGCAGCTTAGGTGGAGGGCGAAGAAGGCCTCCTTCCGGGGGGGGCCGAGCCATCAGTGAGATACCACTCTGAAAGAGCTAGAATTCTAACCTTGTGCCAGGACCTACGGGCCAAGGGACAGTCTCAGGTAGACGGGCGTAGGGGGCCCACACCAATCCATCCCGAACTTGGTGGTTAAACTATACTGCAGAAATTGAGAATAGATCATGATGAAACTGATGATCTTTCTTTTTTTCCCCTCCCTTTCTTTGAACCTTGTCAATGATCGAACTTAAAGATATGAACTGAGTGCCCACCGCTTGGTTTTGACACTCAAGCGACCCGCCCTGCTTGTGGTTAGTGGAGAACAGCCATCGGACCGGATTTGTCGTAGCGACGAAAGGGGGAAATAGCTCAGTCGGTTAGAGTGCTGGTCTGTCACGCCAGAAGTCGCGGAAGGTCGGAAGGAGAAGTGTTATAAGCTTTGAATGGAAGCCCCGGTAAGAAACTACATTTATGAAATTAAATACCGACAACATAAAATGTTTTATTCAAAATATGAACTTCATAAAAAGAAATACATTTATTCTTATAATTTTTTCCAATAATAAGTCTTCAGTTATGATGCTTAAAGAAGTATCTAGCATCTAAATGAGTAATATCTTCAAGACCTTCAAAAATATCATCTTTATAGGAAAGGTTTGCTTCAACTTTATCATGATTATTCATAGGGCCTGCCTCAACATCATTTTGAAAAGTCAAGTGAGTCTCAACTTTATTTTGTTTCCCTTTTATTGATGCTTGATAAAGTTTAACAAAATGTTCAGGTGTACGACAAATTCGTGCCCAATGATTTTTCATAACACATCGGTGGCAAACATTACCTTTGCCTTTTGAAGGGTTTTTCTGAGAACCCTTATTGTTTTCTTGTTTATAAAGACCACCACCATGGTGATTATTATTTCGCCCCTTGCCACCCCCACGTATATTTATACGGCCACGATAATTATTTTATCTTTTTTTCAGACTTTGGATCTATCGTTCCAAGATTCGCTTCTGGAAATGGAGCTGACCCAGTGGGGCGGGTTTCATGATTTTTCATTAAAAGGGCATTATGTTGTTCAGCCACCAAAAGGCATGAAATTAACTCAAAATATTTCTTAAAGTCCTTTTCACAGTATTGCTGCTGTAACACCATATTTGAGGCATGAAAAGTGGAAAAAGTCTTTTCCAGCATGTCCTCATCATTCATAGGTTCCCCACATAATTTTAGTTGGGAAATTATTCTATATACAGCATAACTGTATTCACTTATGGTCTTATAATCTTGTAAGTGAATCCACTCTCGACGAGCTCTTGGCAATACCGTGGCCTTTAGGTGGTCATATCGTTCCTTCAAACTAGTCCATAATTAAAATGGATCTTTCAAGGTTAAATATTCACTTTTTAACCTTTCATCGAGATGATGGCCAAGGAAAATCATGGCTTTCGCGTTATCCTGACTTAATGCTTCATTTCCTTCTTTAATAGTGTCACCAAGACCTTTAGCACCAAGGTGAATTTCAGCATCAAGTAACCATGGCAAATAATTATTTCCAGAGATGTCAAGTGCCATAAATTCAAGTTTTGACAAATTCAACATAGTGAAAACTATCATAGAAATAAGTGAATTAGAATGGCAAGAATTATTATCAATGAAAAAATTCAGTGCAGTACATAATCGTGTATTAATATTCTATATGTATAATTATCAAACAAATAATTATGTGCAGTGCGATGAAAAATTAGTGTTTAATATTACCCAGTAAAACTTTAGACATGTTTTTTCATAGAATAAATAAGTTGAATTAATATGTACTATTATAATTTTGTTCTACTTAGAATACGTTTCAATAAGCTAAGTAAGCATAAAACTAGATGATATCAATTCTGACAAGTTTCAACATTCAATACGTACATCTAATAGTTAAGTCGTTAATTTTAAAGTCATTAATTAGTTTGTACACTTAGGTGATAAATTTATTGAATACACATTTAAACCTTTTGAAAATTTTGCGAGAATTCCTTCTAAATGCATATTCTGTTGGAATATTTGGATGTGGGCTTAATTAGTCTAATTATTTTAATTCAATTTTAATACTTATTTATTTATGTGTATGATTAAACTTCTTCTTAGTTTATATAATGAAATAATAATTTAACTGAAACTTATTGTTTTCATACTAATGCAATTATTATAATCATATTCAAAACAAGTTATGCATATGATAATTAAATTGCAGGTTAAAGAAGATCCTAATAGAAATATTATAAACATAGGAATGTACACCTAAATCGGAAAAGAAACGGACTACCTCTTTTAGGAAGAAGATAAAATTCGGATGAAGCAGATAACCTCAGTTGGTTAGAACCTCGTGGTGATAACGTATTAAGAAATGAGAGCAAAATAGAATAATATAGTAATAGAGACAAGATGTATAGGAGGAGAATGTAGAAGCTATCTTATTCAAGTGTGTTTCTTGTGTGTTCTTCCATAGGCAAAGAATGTCCTATTTATACGATACAAGATACACCCAAAATTTATTAGATACATCCTAGGAATTAATAGGTGCATCTATCCAAGTAGTACATTGTATAGAATATATAGATGGACTAAATGAGCATCTATATACATTCACTTTATTTATAACAAGGTATAGTATTTTTTAAAATAAATTTTTTACATTTGATCACATGAAAAGTACTACAAGTCAATATGACTAATGGTTCAAAGTAGGAAAAATGCATAAGTACCCCCCTGACCTATACCCGGATTTCCAATTAGACACTTTTTCTTTGCGGGAATCCTATTACCTCCCTAAACTTATTTTAAATGGAATTATTTGCACCCTAAAACTAGACAACCAAACTCTTGGGAAGTGATGAGCTACACGCGCCCCCACATGTATTTTTAGTACTTTTTTTATTCTTTCTTCTTTTTCTTATCCTTTTATCTTATTTCTTATTATTCTCATTTTTTTGGTTATTTTATTCTCTTTCTTTTTGTTTTGGTCACCGACGACATAATGGTGGTCGTCGGAATTTTACAAACACCATTTTTTCCTGCGAATTTTTTTTTCCGACAACAGATTTTTATCTCGATCTAAGTGTGTTTTATTTTATATATATATATATAAATTTTTCTTGAAAGTGTAATTTATGAGTTGGAGGAAAATCAAAAAAAATAAAAACGAATATAAGCTGAGAAAATTTTTTTCAGTTAAAATTTCAATACATTATTTTTTTCCGGCGTGAGAAGGTTTTCTGATGATGAATTTCCCCCCAAATCTGAGTGTATTTTGTTTCTTATGAATAGATATTTTTGAGAGTTTAATTTGTGTGTGAAAAGAAAAAATGGAAGAAAAACGGTTAGACAAAGTCGCCGGTGAATGAATATCCGCCGGAATTATAGAAGAAACGAAAAAAAAAAGTAAAAGAAAAAAGACAAAAGAAAAAAGAAAATATAGTAAGAAAAAATGGTAAAAAAGAATAAAAAATAATCCGAAAATCATCTTTTCTTGCTTCTCAAAGGAGAGTGAAATACACACACTCTGCCACGTCAGCATTAAGGGTGCAAATAATTTTATTTAAAATAAGTTTAGGGGGGTAATAGGATTCCCGCAAAGAAAAAGTATGTAGTTGGGATTCCGGGTATAGGTCAGGGGTAGGGGTGTCAATGAATATTTAAAAACTGATTAAATCGACCGTACCGTACCGAACCGATTTTTAGGTTTTTCTAAAAAAAACGTAGGTTTTTACATATATCTATAACCGTACCGATAATTAGGATAGATTTTTTATTTTACAAAAATAAACCGAAAAATTACTGAACCGTACCGAATAAATTTACATGTGAAAAATATATCTATACATTAAATTTAAAAATATAATATTAAATTTTTCCTTGAGCGTTGGAATTATGAAAACAGTTACAAGCCACAAGTAATTAAACTCAAAATCCTAATTTCCAAACCTATTATGCTACTCCTATTGAAACTAAATTATTTCCTTCATATTCAGTAGTAAGATAAAAAGTATTCTGGCGATTATGAGTAGCAAACTACAATATGTTGAATATGTTTCCTTTCATATGATTTAGATTTATCTTTTTAAATCTTAATCTTCTATAAACTTTATTTTTGATTCCCAACTTGGTTATTATCTTTCCACTCGTGTGATATATATATATATACATACTTAATTTATTTTACGTTGTTGTAGAAATAGTCGATGGATCTATAATCTGGTCATCTTTCATATTTTCTTAATTTATCACTCTTTAAACAGTAAAAATGTTTAGAGAGTTTGGCTAAGTTCTATACATGTACGTATTTTATTGCATTCTACTTCTAATAGTGACTTTTACATGACATTAAAAAAATACCGAAAATTAATCGAACCGTACCGATACCGAAGAGTAACCGACATGATTGGGGCGGTTTCGAAAAGTTTGATTTTGGTTATACACAATAGAATAATCGAAAAATTGGTATGGTACAAAATTTATAAAATAACCGGCCGAACCAAACCATTGACACCCCTAGTCAGGGGGTGCTTATGCATTTTCCCTTCAAAGTATTTAAAAAAGTTTGAGAAAATTATTCGACTCCCCAAATAAATTACCTTCAAAGCGGATTCATGATAAATTTATGCTTGAACTAAAAAATACTAGATTCATATAAATCCGACACTAAAAAACTAAGTCCGCCTTTGATTACCTTCGCATAAAAGATGAAGGGAATATATGAAATGTCACATTGGCTACGTTTTTCTATATATACAATAATAGAAACTTATTCACCCATTTTCTCTAGGTTTTGTAGTTTTTAAAAATTATTTTAGGTTTTTTTTACAAATTGGATATATTCCACCTTAAAAGGCTCTTATCCCATTATTAATGCATTTAATTAAGGAATTCAATTATGTCCTTTCCTTTTTTTTTCTCTCCCTCTTCTTCTATACAGATTTAAGTGATTGACTGCTATTTGAGGGTTGAGTTGCAGGTCGCATTTGCCAAGGTTTTGTCCTTCTCCTTTTATTTTCTTTTTTCTTCTTTTCATCATCNATATATATATATGCTTAACATACATTCCACAAATGGACAAACCTAATATTTAACAATTACATCATGTAATGGTTTCACGTAGTGATGTATCAAAAACAATTCAAATAAACTTTTGAGGCAATTTTAATGCAATTCTGGAATAATCCTTGTAAATTTCTTATACAATTCTAATACAATACTATATTATACTTGTATTACTATTGTATCAGATTGTTTTACATATTGATGTATTATATATAATTCATATACAATTATCATATATTTATGATACAATTCAGAAATAATTTTGAAATATTTTGAACTTTTTCTTCTTCAAGTTTCAATATGTGTTATTACCCAAAAGGTCATCACTTGTTTTTAAAAGTAATTCTGCATTCCGAAGTTTTGAAAACCTCTTTCTGTTTTACCTTGAGTGTGTGCGCAGTCCGGGCGTGTTTCCAGAAAGTTTTTATGTGAAATCTAAGTTAAATAAGGAAATTGACCTTTAAAATTAATTAAAGTTGACTTTGGTCAACATTCTTGGTAAACGGACCCCGACCCGTGATCCGATAATCTTGTAGGGTCCATAGTAAAATATGGGACTTGGGCATATGTCTGGAATCGAATTCCAAAGTCCCAAGCCCGAGAAATGAATTTTTGAAAGAAATTATTTTACTGAAATTATGAGGGGTTTTGAAAATGTAACGATGCTTGAAATAGATGGTATCGGGCCCGTATTTTGATTCCAGAGTCCGGTACAGGTCTTATATAATAATTAAATTAAATCTGTGAAGTTTGGTAAGAATCGGAGTTCGTTTAGTACCAATCAGACCTTTATTTGAGAAAATAGTAGTTTCAATGTTCTTGAGTGATTTTATGAAATCGATGTTGAATCCGTAGTTGTTGATGTTATTTTTGATGATTTAATCGCACGAGCAAGTCCTTATGATGTTTTTAGACTTGCGTGCATGATTAGCTTGGAGCCCCGAGGGCTCGGGTGAATTTTGTATAGGCCACAGGGTGAATTTAGACTTGGAAAATAGTTGTTGCAGGTTCAGAGAAGTTGCAGGTCTTTGAGATGGGCGTCGCGGTCCGCAGTAGAAACTTCGCGACTGCGGTGGGTTCTTCGCGACCGCGGTGGGATCTTTGCGGTCCGCGGTGGGGAAAGGCCATACCTTCGCGGTCGTGCTCGATTTCTCGCGGTCCGCGATGGAGCTCCGCGGATGCGGTCCTTTTTATGTGGTCCGCGGTGAGGGTCTGAGAGGAGTATATTTAAATGGAACTTTTTAGTTATTTTCAATTTTCAAAACTCTAAAACATAAGAGGCGATTTTCCAAACACTCTTTCTTCCCCAAAACACTAGTAAATAATTTTTAACTCATTTCTCTCACTCCTTAACTTCTTTTTACAAGATTTCATCCTAGAATCTAGGGTTTTTTCATGGTGGAATTTGAAATTTTGGGTAGAACCTAGGAATATTGAAATTTGGGGATTTAGACCTCAAATTGAGGTCGGAAACCAAAACCAATTGTATATCCGAGCTCGGGGGTGAATGAGTAATCGGGTT